TTCAGCTTTAAGGTGACAGAGGGCACCTCCCTCTCAGCTTTAAGGTGACAGAGGGCACCTCCCTCTCAGCTTTAAGGTGACAGAGGGCACCTCCCTTTCAGCTTTAAGGTGACAGAGGGCACCTCCCATTCAGCTTTAAGGTGACAGAGGGCACCTCCCATTCAGCTTTAAGGTGACAGAGGGCACCTCCCATTCAGCTTTAAGGTGACAGAGGGCACCTTCCTTCAGGCGCATGGTGTGGAGTCATGCTTGCTGCCTCTGCATGAAGCTTCTGTTCAGGGCTCTGATCTGGCAACTCTTGATCTTGGAAGCCGGGGCTTTAATTGCAGGGGCCCTTAGAGAAGGCAGTTTAGCCCCTGGGCCTAGTAATGCCCTGTGCGTGATGGTTGCTGGTGCCTAACGCCCGTCAGGGCCCTTCAGTCTCCACTTCCTCTCTTCTGTTCCTGCAGGCGCAGCCCGTCCGTCTTTCCCCTCCTCCTTGAAGGCACAGCTTCTAGTCTTAGAGAGTTAGCGCAGCGATGACATTCCTGGGGAGTTGTTTCTGGGGCTCTCCTGTTGAGGTGGCAACCTAAGAACCCCCCAGCAAAGCCACCAGGGAACTTTCCTCACAAACATCAACGGCCTCCGAGGAAGGACATTTCCTGTCATTGGTCATGCTGATGCTTCTCTGTCTCCACACAGGGGGTGACGACGGCCTACTGAGGGGCTGGGACACCAGGGCACCTGGCAGATTTCTCTTCACCAGCAAGAGGTCACTGCCCAAGGGCCAGCACTCGGTGCCCACACCAGCCTCCCGTTCCCTGACACCAACCCTCCCATTCCCTGGGTGCCCACACCAGCCTCCCATTCCCTGGGTGCCCACACCAGCCTCCTGTTCCCTGACACCAGCCTCCCGTTTTCTGACACCAACCCTCCCATTCCCTGGAGGGTTCCATCGTTCCCTGGTGCGTCCACGTGCTGGGCACTGGCTCAGGTGCCACCTCTGCTTGCAGACACTCCATGGGTGTGTGCAGTATCCAGAGCAGCCCTCATCAGGAGCACGTCCTGGCCACAGGAAGGTGAGTCCCCAGGAGGCCCATGGGCCCTTCTTGCCCCTTCTGTTGCCGTTCCTCCTGGCACCTTTGCAGTATTTCGTCTGCCAGTGCTTTGCCAGACTGCAGGTATCTGGGTTTGGGAACGGGGACCTTGTCCTCAAGGGCCGAGTGGGACTGAGACGTTCTCTGCCACCCGGGGCTTTGTGGACCAGGTGAGCCTGAGCCTGGGCTCTCCCTGCGTCCCGCTGTGGTTGATCGGTTTCAGCTATGATGAGCACATCCTCCTGTGGGACACACGAAACATGAAGCAGCCGTTGGCAGACACGCCCGTGCAGGGTGGGGTATGGAGAATCAAGTGGCACCCCTTCCACCACCACCTGCTTCTGGCCGCCTGTATGCACAGTGGCTTTAAGATCCTCAACTGCCAAAAGGCAATGGGTGAGTGGGAACCTGTGGCTGCTGGGCCTTGGCCGGGGCGCCAGTTCCTGCCCCCTTGCTCTGCTGGGCTCTTCGTCTGCTTTCACACACTCCCAGGGTCACGCCCTGGTCGTGGCTTGGACGTGATCCATAACTGTCCCAAATCCAGACTCTCTGTTTTGAGAACTCTGTTCTCTAACTAGTTTTCCCTGGTTTCCCAGCTCCGTTATTCTGGTGCCTCCTGCGTTTGAGCAGACCTCTGACCCCACTGGGACCTCTGACCTGGAGGCTTGACCACCGGCACTCCCACGCTCCTCTTGCTGGGGTCAGCTGGGACTCTGTGGTCTCCTGACCCTGTGTGCTCACACTCTGGGCAGAACCTAGTGTTGTTCTGTTGGGAACACACACCTCTGCTTCTGCCTGAGCTGGGGAGTGTGGCTGCTGGAATCAGCTGTCCACGTTCTTTTCCAGCAGGTTTCTGGGATTCCTGGTGATCTGTAATGTTTCTCTAGGCAGTAATCCCCTGCTATCAGAACGGTTCACATTTTCTTCTCTCTGCTCAAACCTCCAGGACCTCCTCTTCCCTCCTGACTCTCAGCTCTTGATCTCTCCTCTTTCGCCCCTTCCCTGTCCCCTCACTCCAAAAAGAACCAGTCACAAAACCACCTCATCTTCCCACCCCCCGCAGCGGTGGGTGAGCCACGCGTGTTCCCATGGCCAGTTGCTTCTCTGCACTGGAGTGTCCTCAGGACTTCATTTCCACATTGGATTCCTCTCTGTGCTGTATCTTTAGTTTTTTAGTTTCTGTATCTCTTCTGCATTGTTTCTGTTAGTTCTGTAAATGTACTTCATATGTCTCATCTTTTTTTTTGAGGCGGGGTCCCGCTCTGTCACCCAGGCTGCAGTGTGGCGGTGCGATTTTAGCTCACTGCAGCCTCAACCTGCTGGGCTCAAAGCATCCCCCACCTCAGCCTCTCAGGTAGCTGGGACCCCCAGGGCCAGCCATGATATTTCTTAAATATTGTCTTAAAACAATTTGAGGTCTTTTTTTTTTCTTAATTCACGTACGTATTTACAGGGATACATTTTCCTCTGAGCACTGCTTTCGCTGCAGCCCATATATTTTGGTATGTTATATCTTTATTTTCTTTCATCTCAGTGTATTTTCTAATTTTCCATGTTTTTTTTTTATTTTGCCTCAGCCTCCCAAGTAGCTGGGATTACAGGTGCCTGCCACCATGCCTGGCTAATTTTTGTGTTTTTTAGTAGAGACGGCATTTCGCCGTGTTGGTCAGGCTGGTCTCGAACTCCTAACCTCAGGTGATCTACCCACCTCAGCCTCCAAAAGTGCTGGGATTACAGGTGTGAGCCACTGCACCCAGCTGGCCTTTTTCCTAACTTTATTTATTTTTTTGAGATGGAGTCTCACTCTGTCACCCAGGCTGGAGTGCAGTGGGGTGATCTTGGCTCGCTACAACCTCCACCTCACAGGTTCAAAAGATTCTCCTGCCTCAGCCTCCCAAGTAGCTGGGACTACAAGCATGCACTACCATGCCCAGCTAATTTTTGTATTTTTAGTAGTGATGGGGTTTCACCATGTTGCCCAGGCTGCTCTCAAACTCCTGGCCTCATGTGATCCACCCACCCCGGCCTCCCAAAGTGCTGGAATTCCAGGCATGAGCCACTGCACCTGGCCTATACCTTTAATTAAAAAAAAAAAAAAATTAGTGGATGGGTGCAGTGGCCCACACTTGCAATCACAGCACTTTGGGAGGGGTGGGAAGATTGCTTGAGCCCAGTTCAAGACCGGCCTGGACAACATAGTGAGACCCCATGTTCACAAAATATAGAAAAAACTACTCTGGCATGATGGTCCCAGCTATTCAGGAGGCTGAGGCAGGAAGGTTGAGCCTCGGAGGTCAAGACTGGAGTGACCTGTGATTGCACCACTGCACTCCAGCCTGCGCCGCAGAGTGAGACCCTGTCTAGGAAAAGAAAAGATGGAGGGAACGTTGGCCTGTTCCTTGTCAGAAAGGGCCTCCCGTTCTTCGGGGTCTCAACAGCGTCTTCCGTCCACTCATCCGCTGTCTTTCCCCGGCTGTGGCTCTCCGGAGTCTTCC